CAAGCTGTGATGGCTGAGTGGTTAAGGCGTTGGAYTCGAAATCCAATGGGGTTTCCCCGCGCAGGTTCAAACCCTACTCACAGCGACTTCATGTAAAAGGCCAAGAGTATACAGTAGAAGTGTTCATGAAATGCTGCTTTGTTCCAGGGGAAAAGATTAAACAGTGTCTCTAATAAAAAAAAGGCAGATTTTGTTGTAGGATGTGATTGTGCAGGAAAGATTTCCTGCTGTGATGGGTGCTACAGCTACCTGCTGTTTCTGACAGCAAATAACCACACATTCTGAAGAAACTGTGAAAGGCTGGTGTAAATCTTTATAAAACAGCTTCCCAAACTACAGTGGAAATTGTTAAATTGGAGCTGATTTAGTTTGGTCTTAAATTTGCATGTTTTATTCTTGTTGATGGATCTACTGAATCATTTTGCAAAATTCACTAGGAATAAAAAAAAACATATAATCACTGACAGTGAGACAGAGTGTTTGTGGTTCTGGTGATATTATTATTTTTTTTATCTATCTGTTCTTCAGGATGGAGCAACACCTTTTCAACCCTCATCAGACCCATTAAACCCTGGGATTCTGCAGCATCGTCCCCTGAAGATGCAGAAAATTCAAGTATGTTTTTCCAGACAGAAGTTTGAAGTGCTTCAACCTCACATATGCTACATACATCCAATAAAGTTTTTTTTATCATTACCTAAACTTCAAGAACATCTTAAAAAGAATAATTTGGACCCTAATGTTCTGTCAAACTTTAGGCCAGTTTCAAAGCTGCCTTTTCTTTCTAAAAATTCGGAGAAGGTGGTTTATCTTCAGCTGCAGGACCACTTAGAGCTGCTGCTATTCATGAGAAGTTTCAGTCTGGTTTTATGTCATGCCATAGTATGGAAACAGCACTTCTCAGGGTGTGCAATGATTTGTGTTTAACTATTGATTCTGGTGCTTCTGGTGTTTTAATCCTTCTTGATCTCACCGCTGCCTTCGACTTGGTGAATCGTGGAGTTTTATAATCAAATCTGGAACAGTTTGTTGGTGTGAAAGGCACAGCTCTTAAATGGTGTGAATTCTACTTGTTGGACAGGAATTTTTTTTTCAAAAAGGGGAGTTTCTGTACTCAGAGGCCCCTCTCAGATGCGAGGTTCCTCAAGGCTCAATATTGGGCCCCATTTTGTTTTCTATTTATTTGCTTCCTCTGAGGGTCCATTTTCAGGAAATATGATGTATCGTTTTATTTTTATGCAGATGACATTCATATCTATTTGCCTTTGAGATCTGATGGAGCTCAGAGGACTTAGAACCTGCAGAACTGTCTAAGGGATGATAAATCTTGGAAGGAGCTGAACTTTCTTTGTTTAAATGAAGATAAAACAGAGATCCTGAAATTTGGATAAACAGACCTACTGGCAGGATTAAACAGTCCTGTTGGCCCTTTGGACTGTGATTTTATTAAGAATCTTGAGGTGACTTTGGACAACAATTTTAAATTTAACAGACAGGTCAGTGCAGTGGTCAGATCCAGTTTTTATCATTTAAGGCTCATCTGTAAAGTGGAGCCTTTCCCCATGATGCCCTTGTGAGGGTTATTTATGTTTTTATCTTTTCTAGTCTGGACTACTGCAATTCACTTTATAGTGGAATTGACCAGTCTCTTTTCCACCGTCTCCAACTGGTCCAAAATTCAGCAGCGGGTTTGTTAACGGGGACAAGACGTTGTGAGCATATTACCCCTGTTCTACGCTCTCTTCACTGGCTGCCTGTTCCTTTTAGGATTGATTTTAAAGTTCTACTTTTGGTTTTTAAATGTCTAAATGGTTTGGCACCTTCTTATCTGTCTGACGCTATACATCGCTACCATCCCGGTAGAGCTCTGAGATCTGAAGATCAGATGCTCTTGGTGGTTCCCAGGACTCGCCTGGTGACTAAAGGCGACAGAGCCTTCTCAGCCGTAGCTCCTAAACTCTGGAACAAGCTTCCTCCCTCTGTGAGGTCTGCCAGATCACTGGATGATTTTAAATGTCTGTTTTTTTCACGTTTTCGTATTTTTTTTTCTACGTACGGATGTGTTTACTTGATTTTATCTTATTGTATTTTTATTCTGTTGTGCAGCACTTTGGTTGCCATTGGCTGTGTAAAGTGCTGTACAAATAAAGTTTTGATTAATTGATTGAACAGTTTGAGCATTACCTTAAATATTTGTCTTCAGTTTGACTTTATTTTCCAACAGGTACCAGTAGTTTGGAGGTGAAAGAGAATCAGGATGAGAAAACCCTGGAGGAGCAGGACTTTTTAAGAAAATATCATCCCTCAACCTTTTGCACTTTTTCTAGATGTGAACAAAGAACATTAAAGAGGCAGCAGCTCCTGGTGGATGGAAGGGACGGACAGCTCCACCAGAACCACTTGACTAAAAGGTCGTCCTGGGCAGTGGCTCAGAAGAGCGCGGTGGTTCAGCTGAATGAGTTACGACCAGGTCTGAGGTATGAGATCGTGTCAAAAACTGGCCCACTGCATGCCCCGGTGTTCTCTGTAGCTGTGGAGGTTAACGGTTTTCACTTTGAGGCTCGAGGACCCACCAAAAAACAGGCAAAGATGAGGGTCGCCGAGCTGGCTCTCCAGTCCTTCGTCCAGTTTCCCAACACCTCCCAGGCTCACACCACCATGGAGAGGTTCACCAGCACAGCTGTGGACTTCACAGCTGACAAACTGGAGCTGCCTGATGCCTTCCTCACAGGGTTTGAATCCTCGCTGCTCGGAAACTACAACCTCCTTCACTGCGATACAACGAAGACCGAGGTCCGAACCCACATCTACAGTCCCAAACGGACCATTCAGTTCACTCTGGATTTAGTTTCCTCAACAAATCCAAGGAGACCCCCTGTCAGCACCGCGCTGTTGAAGCACCTGAGTCCAGTAGCGTTGCTCAGTGAGCTGAGACCAGGACTCAGATACACGTGTCAGGTTGAAAAGGTTCACGGCAGACCCATGAGGAATTTTATTATGGTGGTCAGGCTGGAGGGGAGGGTGTTCGAGGGCTGTGGTCACAGTAAAAGACGGGCCAAAGCTCAGGCAGCAGCAGAAGTCCTGCAGTCTCTTTACAGCACAAGTCTGGGACCAGAGAGGGACCTGATGGGCCTCCAGGGAAGCAGGACCAAAAACCAGCTGCCTCAGGTGAGTTCGTCTGAATTTAAAATGCCCAGTGTTGGGCACAGTTTCCCCCCAAAGCACTAAAGCACTAATAAGGGAACTAGGATTTTTGCTAATTTCTTGATTCATTAGTGGATTAGCACTTTCTAAATTTATAAGCACTAATTGAGTTCTTTAAATATTACTGATGAACATTGTTGTCAACAGCTGAGGGTGAATGCTGTCAGACATGTTGTCATATATGTGTCACTTCTTCACTAGATCAGTGGTTTTCAAACTTTTTTGCTTCCAACCCACAAAACAACAGCTGCAGACACTCCTGACCCCAGATATTACTTGTTTACGTAGCAAACTTTGTTAATAACTCTGTTAAACATGGGAATAAGAACTATAAACAAACCTAATAACTATAATCTTTAGTCATTTATGAATATTTACAAAAATTGCAATAATCATGATGAAAATACTCCATTAGCATTATTTTTTTTTGCTTTTAAACTGATGTCTGGAAGTCATCTGGGGACCCTCACTTGATGTTTTGTGACCCACAAGGAGGTCCCGACCCCAACTTTGGGAACCACTACACCAGATGAAATATTAACAATATTCTGCACACAGAAAATATTTTTATGTTGACTCTGAGGAACGTTCCATGGGTCAGATGAGTTTTTAGTGTTTTAGAATTAGCTTTGCTAAATTTTTAAGTGTGTTAGTGCTTTAGAATTAGGGGACCTAAATATTAAAGTTAGTGCTTTAGGGTTAGTGCAACTAATTTTTAGATTAGTGCTGCCCACCTCTGAAAATGCCTTTCAAAAGTTTTCACCCCTCTTGGTAACTTCATTGCCTCACAAACAGGTCAGTGCTGCAGCCTCATAATCCTGAGGTTGTAGGTTGAAATCCAGATTGCACAGGAAGGTCATTTAAAAGAGACAACACTGTTCATGATATAATTTCTGAAGGAAATATGATTCACAGCAAAGGAGCATAAAACATGCACACAAACGTTTTCACTTTCAAACAACTTAAAACAAGTTTGTTTCCCCTAAATTCGTTAATCTGGAGAATTATTGCTTTAATAAGAAAATCCAATTAAATTSCAGGTTGTAAGGCAAACCACTTATAAATGAAGATGGAAGAAAACTTTTTCGAGACCTGAAGGTTTATTTTACAAAGTTAGAAGCGTTTTWTATCTGTAAATTCTTGAAAATCAAATGTAAAAGCATGCTTTTCTGAACTCTGCAAAAATGTGTCTTGTTAAGATTAAACTGAATATTTAAAGTGAATAACTCGAGGATAAAGAAAAGAAAAGATAACCTCCGACATGCTGAAGTGTTCACACATTCTAGAACAAATTTTCCCCACCTGGAGTCAGTGTCATCTCTCCACCGTCCAGCACAAACCGGTCTGAGGTGTGCAGGGAGTGTGCCGTGCATCAGAACCATCATGTCCCGAGGCCTGAGAGCTGCACGGCGTTCTGCACGCATGTCTGCAGCATCCAAACAACTTCATTATGTTTCAAATCGTCCTCCACGTCTTCCTCTGCCATGCTTTACGAACACAAGCAGATCCTTCGCCTCAGATCCACTTCCAGGAACCGAGGTGGAGTGTTGCTCCACTGTGGCAAAGATAATAGAAGAAAAGAGACATAAAGATGTTTTATTACACCCTGAGGGACGTTTAATGTCAGAATTCATTGAAAAACAGATAAAAAAGGCAGCAAGTCTACAAACTTTTACACCAAATCCTAATAAGAGAGTAACCTCTTCTACAGAACCCCCTCCCTCCTCTTCCTCCTTCGATCCTGTCTGTCAGCGGCATTAATGAACATTATTACAGCGCATTAGGGATGAAGGAGGAGCAGCAGATAGGAGACAGAGCTGGAGCAGGAAGGAGGTGTGAAGAGCGTAACAATCTCACACATAATTGTTTAACACGTTCATCATACGTGACCTTGTGCCACTCTCATCCAGAAAGCACCGAGCGCGGGAGAATAGGATGTAAAAAGACAAAAATTGAAATTTTAGGTTGGTAATGAGATTCAGCTCTAACGCTCTGCTTCACATGCAGAGCAGAGGAGTTTAAATACATGAAATCACTGTTATTCTCAATTATAAAACCAAATGCTAGATATAAAATGATAATTATTATCAACTTATTTATTTATTTCATTATCAGTGAATCAGCTTAGCCATCACAAGTAAATAAATAAATATCTCAAAATAAGCATCAACTACAACTAAATCCAATAAGGACATGTTTTTTAAACAAAGCACACCCGTTTTGTTTCTGTTTCTAACATTGTTTGCTCTGCAGTTCTTCACAGACTCCATCTCCCACTTAGTGAAGGAGAAATACTCCCAGCTGACTGACAGCTGCTCCTCTACCTCACAGCTTCATCACAAGGTTCTGGCAGGAGTGGTGATGACCAGAGGTGAGCGGATGAARGGCAGAACTCAGACCTGAACGTGAAAACACTTTATCTTTCTTCATCTGTTTTCTGGTTGTTGTTTTTTTCCTTTTGGTTTATGTTCTTATTCATTTTTCATCTTGATGTTCTCAGTTTTATTTGTCTCAAAATCACCTCAGACTCATCTTCATCCTCTCCCTTATCAGGTTGATTGCCTGAATATTATATTATATTGTATTATTTATTTATTATTATATATTTTTTATTATAGTATTTATTATATTATTATATTATTTATATTATATTATTTAAGAAAAGCTGCAGAAAACACATGATTTAACCCATTTTGTCACATTTTCCTTTGAATTTAGCTAATCTAAAGTGAAACAGGAAGTGACATCAAAGGGGAACTCTTTAAGAAAGAAAACTCCCTGGTCTTTGTTTATGAAAACAATGCTTTTTAAACTCTGAATCTTCTTCATCTCTCTCTTATAGGGGTTAAAATAATTTAAAGAAACATCAGAAAATTCCCTGCTGTCTGTGTTGTCAGCCGTTGTAGCAAAGCTCTGTTTACATGCAGACATCCCCCTTTGACATCACTTCCTGTTCCTTCACAATAAAATATCTCAACAACTGTTCATCTCAGCAGCAGGAAATTAATTTTGCAATTTGCTAATAATGTTATCTTTCCAATAATGCCTTTATATTTATTTAAAAAATGTTATGTCCCAGGCACTTTAAAGCATCTAAGTAAATGTGTTCCCCTCAGGTTTTGACGTCAGATCAGCCCGGGTCGTGTCTCTGGCCACAGGGACAAAGTGTCTGAACCTGGACCACCTGGGTGGGCTYGGCTGTTCTCTCAGTGACTGCCACGCTGAAGTCCTCAGCCGACGAGCGCTGCTTCGGTTCTTCTACAACCAGCTGGAGCTGCTGCTGCGGTACAGTCAGCGTTTCTCTTTTGATTTGAGCAGATGCTGCTGTAAACATGTTCTGTCAACAGTTCAGTTTGTGACAATCAAAATCTACTTTTAAAATAATTTCCTTAGATTGTTGTTTAATCAATTTAAATTGTACATATCTAATTAGTTTTTATGGTTAGTTTTAAGTTGTTTTTGATCAAATGATGAATAGATTAGCCTTGATGAGTAGACCTTATATACAGATGTCAAAGACTCTAATTGATATAAAATACAGCTGACTTTTTGAGACAAGGATAAAAGAAGAATTTGTGAGTTAATTAACTTTGTTTTGCCTGTTGTCACTGTACGCCTACATTATGTAACATTTACACTGAAACAAACTGGGATTTTAAAACCTTTGTTGAAAACAACAACTGTAGAAAATACATCTTAAACACTTTTATGTTTTAAACTATAAAACTGTCATGAATACCCAACACCCTTTTAAGTGTAAACTTAATTTCACCATCTTAATATAATCTGTACAGCAAGTAAAATAAGTATTGAACATGTCACCATTTTCTCAGTAAATATATTACTAGAGGTGCTAATGACA